ACCCTCTAGTAGCCTTCCTGTGAAGTCCCCTATGGGGGCCCCTGTGGGGGCCCCCATAGGGGCCCCTATGGGGCCCCCCGATATTATTTCTGTTGGGTCGTCTTCTTCTGTGAGCCCCCTTCGCAATGACGAATGTCCCCTTCCCCCTAATGGGGGCCCCCCTCCTAGTAATGATAGTGGCCCCCCCGAGGGGGCCCCCCCTGATGGGGGCCCCCCTGAGGGCCCCCCTGAGGGGGCCCCCCAAGAAGGTAATGTATGCGTACGTAATTGTATATTATGTAGTACATGGGTACGATTTGTTGATGGTTGTTGTTTGTCTCCTTTATTATTAGGTGTATTTGTTTCTTTGTCTTTTTATCCATTTAAGCATAAATATAATTATAATTCTATGCAGCATTTGCTGCTGCAGCAGCAGCAGCAGCAGCAGCAGCAGCAGCAACAGCAGCAGCAACAGCAGCAGCAACAGCAGCAACAGCAGCAGCAGCAACAGCAGCAGGAGAAGGAAAAACAGCAACAAGGAGAGATAGAGGATTTCTTTACTTACTGCAGCAAGAAAAAGACACACAACAATAAATATCTCCTCTCCCCTCCTGCTGCTGCTGCTGCTGCAGCTGCTGCTGCAGCTGCTGCAGTTTGCATGCGTCCCCGTACCTACTATGGCTCAATGCCCATCCTCCCCCATCCAACCACGACTATCAGCAGCACGACCGGGAGAAGCAGCAGCAGCAGCAGCAGCAACAACAACAACAACAACAGCAGCAGCAGGAGGAGGAGGAGGAGGAGATTATATTGTTGTTGTTGTTGGTATAAGAATAGATATAGATTAATACTAGAGGGTATATTAATAAGAACAATAATAAATAAGAATAAATATTTATATTTATTTGTCTCCTTTCTTTCTTGTATAGATATAGGTATAAGGGCATTCTTATCTATAGATCCTTCTTATGTACAAAGTGTCTCCTTTGCTGCTAAATTATTTATTATTAAGATTTGCTGTAAGTTGCTGCTGTCTCTTCTTTTTTATATTATATGTGCATGCAGCAGCAGCAGCAGCAGCAGCAGCAGCAACAGCAGCAGCAGCAGCAGCAGCAAATGCAAATGCAGCAAATGCATCAATTATACACACAAGAGGACAGGGATGTACTGCAGCAATAGCAGCAACAAACATATTCCTTGTTGCTGCTATTCGTCAACAGAAACAACACATAATGCAACTGCAGCAGCAGCAGCAGCAACAACAACTGCAGCAGCAGCAACTGCAGCAAATGTAGCAGCAGCAGCTAAAGCAGCAGCAGCTAAATTAAGGAAAGGTAGTCAAGGAGCAACAACAACATCGGGAAGAAGAAGCAACTGCAGCAACTGCAGCAGCAACAGCAGCAACAGCAGCAATAATCCTTCTCCTATTAAGAAACAATGCAGCAAACAAGGACAAACACCAGCAACTGCAGCAGCAACAGCAACAGCAGCAGCAGCAGCTGCTGCTGCTGCAGATAGTTCTCCAACTCTTAACAAGGGACGCCACAGCAATTCTGCTGCAGCAAAGCAGCAGCAGCAACAGCAGCAGCAGCAGCAAAAACAATTAGCAGCATTCTTAGGTTGCTGCGGCAGCACAGCTTGCAGCAGCAGCAGCAGCTGCTGCTGCAGCGACGGGACATGCGGCTCCTTATGCTGCATGCATAATGAGGTGTGGGGTGTGCATGCAGTGCAGCAAGCATTTGCTGCTGCTGCTGCTGCTGGTCCTGCTGCACCTGCTGCTGCTGCTGCTGCTGCAGCTGCTGCTGCTGCTAGGGTACGAGGACACTATAGTAGGGCAGCACCACAAGGTCCTGCTGCTGTTGCTGCAGCAAGATGGCTATATTGCTGCTGGCTACAAGATAAGGAAGGAAACCCTACTGTGCTGCTGCTGCTGCAGCGGCTGCTTGTGCTGCTGCCTGATGTGCTGCTGCTGCGGTTAGGACAGTTTGTTGCTGCTGCTCATGCTGCTGCTGCTGCTGATCTGTCTCCGCAGCAGCAACGAGCAACACGCAGACGTCTAGCAGCAGATCTTGCTGCTTTTATTGCTGCCTTCCCTCTACGGCCGCAGCAACAGCAGCAACAGCAGCAGCAGCAGTTGCTGCTGCTGCAGGAGCAGCTGGGTTCCCCTTGTCCTGATAGCGAGAGGCAGCAGCAGCGTTTGCAGCAGCAGCAGCAGCAACAGCAACAACAGCAGCAACAGCAACGAGGTGGGAACGGGAGTAGCAGCAGCAGCAGCAACAGCAGCAGCAGCAGATGCAGCAACAGCAACGGGGAATTAGATCCAATATCTGCTGCTGCAGCTGGGGTGTATGCGCAGCTACGTGTCTGCTGCCTAGACTTTCTCTGTTTGCTGCTGCACCTTAGCTGCTGCAGCATGGAGCACCGCCGCTGCTGCATTATCCGCTGCAGGGATGTTGCTGTTGCTGCTGCTGCTGTTAGTAATGCAGAGACTAACAGCAACAATAGGATGCTGCTGCTGCTG